AACATTTTTGATTTAGTTAGTTTCGTTTAAGTGGGCAATTTTTGCGTTAAATCGGCCTAGATTATTTCAAATGTTCTTTTAAATTTCGAACGAAAAAATAGTTAACAAGAAATTAACCAACGTAAGCGGTATTCTATCCTTAGGAATACAATGATTTGTATGGGTTTTTAATCGTATATTTTGCGTTAATTTCTTAGAAATTTTATGTAGGTAAAAGAAGATAATGAAACTTATATACAATCAAACCCATAGACTTACATGCTCTCGAAAAATTATATCCTTTTGTCAGTGAGTTAAAAAATTTGATAATGTTAAAACATCTCTATGTGATATCCGCAAGAAAGTTTCGCAAGACCCAACCTGAATTTATTAAGCTGGACCCTAGAAAGGTTTGCCGTATGCAGATAAGGGATTTATTTAGCGGAAAGGTCCGTCCCTGGGTTAACGCTAAAACGCCTTTTGGGTCGGCGATGACCAGGATTGGGACGAAATTTATTGTCGCCTTTCGGCTTTCGCGTTGATTTATTCGGCCTTACTGAATGAAATCAGCGCCTCGCCTGATAACGGCCCCTGCCCTATTTGTGGGACGACTGGTATTTATCGCGTTAAATTATTAACGACTAGCTGTTGCTCGTAACTTCGTCTATGTGAAATTAAAAAATAGTAACAAACATAGCCTATTTTACTTACTAATAAGTAACTTTTTTAATGGTGAAAGAACTTTTGAAATCGGCTCAGTAGTTTTTGAATTATTTCAACACATACAAAAATATAAATCTTTTCTCTTTATAATATTAGTACAGATTTATACCTACAGCATTTACACCTGAGCGAGGACCCAATCCGGTCAGCACGGCATACACATTTTAATTATTTTGTTTGTCCTGTAATTACGTGTTCATTATTTATTCTTTTTTAATTACATTGTTGTGTTTTTTTTTCTCTTATTCCAAATTGTGTTGTAGTGGTGATAAGATTAAATGTTATTTTATTTAAATGCTGTAAGAAAATTTTTATGACATTTAATGTATTTTTGTACTTGATATCATTTGTAATTGAGTGGTAATTAACACTTGGTTGGTGCACAACTACGATTTTAATTTGTTTGAATTAATAACCTTGTGTGGTAATACAGTAAAGATAAAAAATATGTGATACAATTCAAGATTATATTAGATGAAATTTCCATAAATATTACCTATACCTTCAGAAACTATCTTGTCTTCGATGTTGTTGGCTTTTCTGAGCCATATTGCCCACCCTGCGCCATACAACTTGATATTGGTTTGCAACGGACGTAGGACAGAAGCGTGTAACGAAGCGACGGCCAGGGACGGTAAATGGCGGCAATTACGAGCCACCGGCCCGCCCCGGACGTGATGCGATTTAAAATGGACGAAACGAGAGAATGCGGTCGCACGATAGAATAGCGAGGATTTAAGTAAGCGCTCGTTAAACAGTATCCATTAAAGATTCTTGTTTTACTTACTTAAATGATTTTACTATTTAGTTTTAGATACCAAATTTTCAGTCCGTGTGAATTTTCTAATTAGAACCACGGTAATTTTAAATAGCGCCATCTATGTTTTGATATTTCTGTTTATTGATAAAAATCCTGGTGTAAGCTATTCGACGACAGGTGGCGGTTGTCAGAGGAGTTATATGGTTTTTTTTTATTGTTTTTAAACTACAATTTTAAAATAGGAAAAAATGTTCAGTCCATTTCATATATTCTTATGTATCTACAGAATGGTATACAGACTTTTTACATCATATAAATGATTATGTAAATTAAATCGTGTATTATTTCTTATCCACATTTTCTTATGATTTAAATTCGGACGGTCCTAACCCAAAAGTTGGCCCTTTAAGTTCGTACACATGTACCGCGGGAGAACACGCGTGCGTTTTACGACCGCCGGCCGCGCTATTGGAATCGTCCGAGAATAGAGGCCTTACCAATTTTTTACCTTCGCGTGAAAAATTGCTTTCAGTTCTACAAGGGCTGCCAATTGTAATGTATATAAATAAGTTTATTATTTTATTTACATTAATTGAAGAATTTTATGTGTACGTATTAACAAGATGTATGTGAAAATATTTCGAGCGGTATTTGATCAGATCATGTTGACTGTAAAAATATGCATTGATTGTTTATAAATTGGACATGTAGATGTCAGCACTTGTCATTAAATAAGCATGTATGCCTTTGCTATTATCGCTTTTTTCCTTCTTACGTTACATGTGATGTCTTTGATTTGAGACAACCCTTTGCAGTCTAGTCGTTAAGGATCGCCTGTACCCACCCAGAACGTTTTGTTCGGCCGCGACACTGTGATTGATGCGGCTATACGTTTTATTTTCTCGGTCAATACACAAACACACTAGCGCCCGTTAACAAATTTTATTTAAGACATAAATAATGTTTTTATTTAATAAATACTTTTAACTAGCTTTCGCCTGCGACTCCGTCCACGTGGAATTAAATAAGTATGTTCTTCCAGACTGTCCTCTACATCTATACCAAATTTCATCGAAATCCGTTTAGCCATTTAGGCTACAAGCTCTAACAAACATCCATCCATTCATCCATCCATCTAAACTTTCGCATTTATAGTATTAGTATAATTAATGCAAGATGGATTTGTTTTATTATACTAGCTATCGTCCCCGACACCGTCTGTGCGGAAATATACAACAGAAGTACCGTATGTGTTCTTCCAGTATTCTGTTCAAATATGCCAAATTTCATCGAGTTCCATTCAGCCGTTTAGGCTACAGACACTAACAAACATCCATCCAACCATAAGATAGAATTAAATACATTTAAAGTACCAGATGTACTAACTAAACACTAATAAAACAATTTCTAGCGGAAAAATGTCATTTATTGGAATAAATTGCATACTGTTTACATCAAGGTTCCTTCAGACATAACCTTACAATCTAGACAATAAATAGATAGATCCAGTAAGAACCTAAATTTAGTGAACAGCGATAGATAAGGGACGTCCAAAAGTTAATATTACAGTCATTGAGTTTTTATTGTCTACGTTTTTACGCCACAAATATATACTTAATATTTGATATTTCCAAAAGAATCGCTTGAAGCTTAAAAAAAATAACTTAAAGTCTACAAAAAGGTCATATCCATTAATTAAACATTCTAAAAACTTTTAGATGCTAAAAAACAGCTGTTAAAACCATTTTTACTGCAATTTCTATTAAAATGATTGAATTTATAGCTTGACCAGGAATAAAAAAACAATTCACCATATTAGGAAAAAATATAGAAGTATTTCGAGTACCTAAGATTCATCAGACTATATATTTTTAAGTTATAAATGATTAGTACCCTGTGGTCCATCGGGCTATAGAAAATAATTTACGAGAAAATTTAAATTTACTGTTTCTGGCGACAAAATAAAAAAAAATTATATTCAACAAAAAATGAGGTATATTTAATCTGTTAATAATTATTATTTGAATTAGTAGGAAATACGCATATAATTATTTTAAATATTAAAATTGACAATAATTTAGGTTTAAAATTTATTTACATAGGTATTACAGAACTATAGTAAATGAACCCTGCAGCGCCTTAAGCAAACTTTTGTAAAATATTAAAAACAAACTGCTAATAAACTGCTTTAAGCAATTTATGGAATAAATCATTTCATACAAAAACATTTTATAAAATAAAAATCTTAAGTAATGCAAATCAAAAATAAGCTACAATTATAATTGCCATACATGTCATACATCGATCCATACAAATTACTGACACAAAAGCGTTCACACTTATTACCAAAGGGGGTAAACAGACATCTTTAGTTTTTCTGGTTCTTTGATGTTTCACGTTTTTAACAATTCATACACATCCATTAAAAATGTACTCCCTCAGGGTAGATTTATTACTAGCAATCCACGCTAAATTCCTTAGTGATTATTAACCGACTCTGAGTGCGGCAGTCAATACAGTTGTCATACAAATTTTCATACATTTCCATTCAATTACATTCAACTTCTACCAAGCACCGAATATCACCCGTCATTCTCTCAGTGTTTTTTAAAGTTGGTAAAAACTACGCATTATAATTTTTTTTGCCCAAATAGTTAGCAATAAAGCAAATTAGGAACTAAAGCGACAACTCGCAATTTAAACTTTAAGTTCAAAGCAGTAACGTTCATTTTACAATATCAAGATACAATTAATTATTAATTAAAATTAATCGATCGTTGTAAATTAATTAAAACGTAATATCACAAACTCCAAACTTAAGTCACTTAATTATTTTTGTACAAAAATAAAATTCAATTTATAACAAAAATTAAAAAATATAAAAGTAACTCATCAAGCTCTAGTTAACAATTCAAATAAACTTTTGTTTTTAAGTATTCCAAAACTTACTAGAATTAATTAATTAAAATTTTAAACGCCATCGAATATTGAAAACTTTTCTTTACAAAATACATTGTTACCGTAGAATTCGATTGCCGTGATACTTGTATTAATATTGTCGTCCCTCTCTAACCTAAGGATGAAAGAGATAGCAATATAAGTGCGACAAACTTGAGGGTCTATTACGAATCACAGTTACGAGAACGTAACCGTAACATTATCGAGTTCTATGTGATTTGTTGTACTTTACGCCCGGTAGGGGCGCTGCATAAATAAAAAAAAAAGTTTTTTTTTATTGATCCGCCCACAGATAATTAAAACATCTGGGAATTTTTCCCATTGGGCTTAAGGAATCCAATCCATCGACCCAATAGTAAAAAATCTTAATGAATCGACTTTGTAAGTGCTTCTTACAATTTGACAGCTGTAATAATTTTAATGGAATTTGGATTTTAAGCGTGGCTTTATCATTAATACGTTGTTTTAAATTTAAACTAGCTTTTGTCCAGAACTCCGTCCGCGTTGAAATAAAAATAATAAAAGTAGTCTATGTGTTCTTCCACGCTCTCTCTACATCTATGCTAAATTTCATGGAAATGGCTACAAACTCTAACAAACATCCATCCATCTAAATTTCGCCTTTATAATATTAGTAAGAAGTAAGATATAGTGTCAGTATTCAGCGTGTATATTAATACAAGTGTCACGGTTGACAAGTTGACAAGTTGACAGTTTGACAGGTTATATTTAAATTCGACTAATTATTACCATGCATAGCCGTATCACGTAATATTTTTGGCTTATCCAGCCTCTATATTTAATCCTTAGTTACAATTTGGACAATCGTTTTTATGATCTTATTCCCCTTTTCATAATGCAACAGATCTAAAGACGGATCGTTGATTTTCTCTTCTAATAAATTGATTAACTCCTCTCTTATTGTTTTCAACATCTCTGCAACCTGATAAATTCCAATAACAAGTTATTTAATTATAATGTCTGCTATATAAAAATTTATACATCGATAATTTTTTTTCATAAATAAATCGAATAGTGGCGACCTCTATATAATTTTTTTATGAAAGCGCCATCTATTGTTAAAAAACTTTTTTTTTTAATTTTAATTATATATGTAGGGTAATAAATTTTAGTTTTAAAGCGGTTTTTCCAAGTACATACACATACCTCATGGTTTTCCACTTGGAACATAATCCAGCCATCTTCCAGCGACACGATGAATGTACCGTTATGTAACTCCACAGCGAGGCTGCAACCTGCAAAATTTACAGCAAATAATATTATAAACAATCTAAAAATTGGAATTCTTACTTCAAAAGCCCTTCGTTTTCAAGTAAATTTTGCGAATGTTGGATGGATGTTGGATAGAGTTTTTAGCCTAAACTGTTGAACGGATCTTAATGAAATATGGCATAGTTGTAGAGGAAATTTTGGCAGAACACATTCAAACTTTTTTTTTACTCCTCGCAGACATAGTTGCGGGATAAAACCAGTTATAAAATAATATTGACTTTTTTACGACCCATAGCTTATTTCATTTTTTATATTCAAAATATTAGCAAGTAAAGCAAAGAAAAATATACAAAATCTTAAACATTTTAATTTTTTTCATAAAACTTACCTGAAAACAATACCAGCGGCAACTGTGGTACCATAGAGCACTCCCGTATAAACACTTTTGACGTTTTAACTTTTTCCTGGTAGACAAGGTAGGGACTGACGAAGTGTCCCACGACGGAGTTGACAGAGGAAGGATGCAGGGACACGTAGCCGTCGCTCTTGGTCTTGAAGCGGAGTTCAGCCGGCAAGGGCTGGCGCGGGATCGCACCCCCTACTTGCATCCTGAATGATTTCTCTGGAGTTAACACCTGGAATAAAGATTTTTTTTATATTAAAACCTAGCTCGCGACTTTGTTCACGCAATATTAAGATAAAAAAGTAGCCTATAATATGCCCGTCTATGTCAGCTACCCTTCATTGAAAGTTCGGTGGAAATCGGCTCATCCGTTTCGGAGTTTACCCGGAACAAACGCGGCTTACGGACAGACAGATAGACATACAGACAAAAATGTTTTAAATGCAATTTTCGTTATCAGCAACACATTTACACCATCTTCCCGAAATCTGGAATTTTTCTTTTGATATAACAAACAGACACCCCAATTTTATTAAATGTATACTGTAATATAACCTAATATAACCCGGTGTATAAATGTAATATAGCCCGGGGGAATTTTCATTTTTCCTGGATATGGAACAGGACAACCGGGACAGCTGTGCGTAGTAAATCAGATAGATTAAAAATATTTTTCTGCGTTCGTCATATGAAATAAAGATAAAGATTGAACAATATTTAAAAAAAAATACTTCTTAAAAAAATAGTAATATTAACCTTAACGACGTTAGGATATAACGCGGCACACATGATGGCCGCCAGCAACTTCTCATTGTTACCGTTTGTGTTTAACTGGAAACAATTAAAATTTTAATTTAATACTTTATATTTTAATAATAAATCATTTAATTTTTAAATCGTTTAATTGATAATATCTGAATCAATTAAATTAATTATTAATCAATTCGATTAAATAATTAATTGATTAAATTATTAATTAATTGATTAAATTAATCGATTAAATTATTAATCTATTGCTATAAGAAATCTTTTTCATTCACAATATTAATGCTTAACTAAAAAAAAATGAAATAGAATACTTAGTTACCTCTTCGCCAGTCAAATCAGCAACAGAGTCCTTCCTCATGTTGCGCCGGAGCGCGGGCATGTCGGGCACGAAGCCGATGGCGGCCAGCAGGCCCAGCAGCTGGTGCTTGATGTCCGCCAGCGTCACCAGCGTCTTGTGCGACAGGAAGTTCTCGTTGGCGCATGTCATCGCGTCGTGCATCGTTGATGACAACGCGTACTGCCATTTCTGAACATATTAACATATTTCACTATTAACATTATTTTTAAATACTTGTGCAGTACGATAGAGTATTCTTGGGTGTCTAAATATAGCCTATATTACTCACTGATAATATAGATTTTTAATAGTACAAGTTTTTTTTAAATCGGCTCAGTAGTCTTTGAGTTGTTTCAATAAATACGAAAATCCAAAAAAAATCTTTCCTCTTAATAACACTAGTATAGATATATCAGTTTGTTTTATTGATATTTGTCAGGCATAAAGGTATTTACCCTGTAAGCCCGTAGTATTGTCAGTTGATCGCTGTTCGCGCACGAAAACTCTCTTCTTTTAACATCTGCTTCGGCCTGAAAATATAATTTACAGTCATAATAATTAACAAAATAATTTATACTTAATATATGAATATACACAGAAATAAGTCGTGCGTCAAGTCGCTAGAAAACTAGTCTAAATAATTATAGACAGGTAGATTAATTAGCGATTTTTAACATTTAACTACCTTCTTGCCGAAGGGTGCGACGAAGGGATTCTTGTGGCTCAAGCAGGCGGCGATGGTGAGCGCGGAGTCGAGGCAGCAGAAGATGGCGCCGAAGAGCATGAGCTTGCCGATGCGCACGTCCACGGGCAGCGCGGCGAGGTGGCGGCCCAGCGCCGTCAGCGCGCGCGCCTTGTCCAGCGCGCCCACGTCCTGCAGCCGCGACAGCGCGCCCTCTATGTTGCTCTTTGTGGGTGGCTCTATTACTTTGCCTGGAAATATCGTAACTTGTTTTAAACAGTGTGTTTATTGTTACGCATAAGGGCGTCGGTGGCTCAGGGGTTAAACATTGTAATCTGTTAGTCTTCAGTTTGAATTCTGTCACGTACCCTTTTTTGGTTTATTCAATTTTCTTACAGTGAAGGAATTTATAGTAACTTAAAAACGGGAAAACAGCGCCTACTATGATTCTCCTTGATACCTTTAAATCAGTCTAATCTAAGTTGTAATTAAGAATCGTGATATTTAAACGGTTTTATTGGAATAGATAGGGCTAGGAATCATGTAATTTGTACGGAAAATTTTTTTCCGTTATTTTCATACGGACCAAAAAATAAAAATGTTCTACTTAATTGACATTAAAATTAAGACTCACCTAAAACCTGATGTACATCCATATCTTGAAAGAGTGGTAATATCTTTATTCTCAACAGCAGCTGTTCCAGCGGTATCCTATGTATTTCTGGTACTGGTTGCTCTGCTAAGTGATGTTCATATCTATGCGAGGTGTAGAGATGTACGCACACGCCTTTCATCACTCTGCCGGCCCTCCCGCGGCGCTGCTTCGCGTTAGCTCGCGACACCCACACCAAGTCTAAAGACTCCATATTACGGTTGGAATCGAATCTGGGAAAGATATTGTTAGCAAGTGTTAATTAATGTATTAATTAATTAATTAAACCGTTAATTATTACATTAATTAATTTAACTATCAAAACTTCCTGTGTATCGACAGTATGCTGCTTTCAGCCATTACAATTGCGAATTATTATTTTTATTTTAATAACATTAATTTAAAAAACAAGTATGTAATTAGCAGTTCGTAATTTAAATGTGTGAACAAAATATTATTTTTTTTTTTGCAAAAATAACAATGTTTTATTAAAAAATTATATATCTTAAATGTAGAATGAAACGATTCCTGTAAACCAGATTCTTATGTTTTACAATCCGGGCTTTAAAATCGTCATAATTAGTCCGAAAATAATACCTTTTTTCCTTCATTCTGCCACAATCAATAACAAAGACACAATCGTCGATAGTGACGGAGGTCTCCGCGATGTTAGTAGAGAGCACTATCTTCCTGGCGCCGGGCCGCGGCTTCTTGAACACTAGCGACTGCTCCTCGCTGGAGAGAGTCGAGTGCAGCGGCACTAACACGTATTTACGGGTCCTGTAAATTGACAACAATAACACTATTATTACTAAAGCAGTCAGAGTAAGTACTGATTAAACACGTACATTTTTTTCGTATGAAAGTGAATTCCCCAAACAAGACAAGCAGTGAAAGTGTAAATGGCGATAAAACTAAATAAGAAAATGCCTTAATTAATGGATTGGGGGTTACACTGAGATCATTGATGCAGATTTAAGGAAAAGACTCTGAGTAAGGTAGATAGTCAAATCTTATAAATGAAATCGTTTTAATTGTTTATTTAACCCCTTAAATGTTTTTAAATTACGACGAAATTTTAAATTGACATTTTACAAACTTACCAATCCTATTGTTTAAATTCATATCAGAAAACAACCGTTAGACTAACAAATTCAATAGGATATGGAAAACAGTTTTTTTTTTATTTTTTAATTAAAAAAAATATGAACCTGTAGTACTTACTTTGGTGAGAATATAGGGCTATCATTTAATTGTTCGTATAAACTCATGATCTCGGCTATCCCGGGCAGGAACACCAGTATGGCGCCCTCCTTCGGCCACGCGTGCTCCCCCGACACTATGTACGTCAGCACATGCTCTATGAGCTCCAGATTTATCTGACAATTACAACATAGAAAATAAATTATTTACAATAATAATTATTACATTGTTTTTTTTATTTATTATTTATCTGTTTATCACATGCGGACACTTCTAAAAATATATAACTATGTAATTGTAACAAGAAAAAAGTAACAGTTATGTTAAAACATCAGATGTTAATTAATAATTTAAAAATAAATATAATTAATTACTGTAACATTAATTAATCAAAAAAGTTTAAACAGTTTAATTAATAATTATTTTGATTAATTATAAGTGTCTTGATTTTGAAGTTTCAACTCTTGTAACTAACAAATAAGTAAGTTTCCTATAGAAAAAAATGTATCTAACATGTCTTACTGTGCAGTAATGGAAAAATACAAACATTTAACTTTTACGGTTTACTAGTTGCCCGCGACTTAGCGCGGAATTAAAAATACCTTCACTAGTAGCCTGTGTTCTAGATTGACTTCTAACTGTCAAATGCCAACAAGAACAAGATCTGATGCTTTATTATTATAGTAACATCCATCCATTTATCAAAAACTTACCTTTTCAGTGTTCATGAGGTAGATATTCTTGCAGGTAGGCTTGCTGCAGCGCGGATAGCGCGCCATCACCTGCGACACCGACAGGTTCTCATCTCGGATGCTGGCCTTCGGAGCCTCACATGCGTCAGGTCTCACGTCGAACGTCTCCAGTTCCACCTGCAGCTCCTGAAGGTGGTCTTTCTCTTCTGCAATGATAGTTGTCATATATAAAAGACTAGCTTTCAACCGCGTTAAATTAAAAAACCACAATGTAGCCTATATTACTAATAACATAGTTTTTGAATGGTGCAAGGATTTTTGAATTCTCTCCAGTAGTTTTTCAGTCATTTCAATACATAACAAATCTTTTTATTTTATAACATTTGTATAGATTGTATGATTTTTTCTATGCATTTATAACTCCAGACGCAGATTGAGCGAAAAATATTTGTATTTACTGTAATTTTTAATAAAAAAAATCCTTTTTTTATAGTCAAAACTCAAAGTCGACATGTACTTAAACTTTATAAGAAAAATTTCACAATAGAGATTACCTGTAAAAAATAAAAAGTATACATTACTAACTTTTTTTCATTTTGCGTGTATACGGTCCATTCTCTTCTAATACATAATTAGACATTTCCATTATATCTTCTAAAAATATTTGCTCCACCGGAAATGTCCTACCTAAAAATAAAAAGTAATTACAAAAAATTCTAACAAAAATTAAAAATTTTACAAAAACCACAAACCTGGTATATCTAATATTGGTATATCATCAAAATACTGTGAAAACAATTCAGCATTTAAAGTAGCACTCATTAGTACTACTTTTAGATCTTTTCTCACTTTTATAAGGTCTCGTAGAATAAGTAGGAGGAAATCACTTTCTTCAGATCGTTCATGTACTTCGTCTACTATGACATGTGTGACCGACTCCAGTTGAGGGTCATATTCAAGTCTCCGGAGAAGAATACCCGTTGTGCAGAATGTTAACCTTGTAGACGATGATATTTTGCTCTCAAGTCTTATCTGGGGATAAATAAAATGATTTTATGGTAATGAAATGAAAACTGAGTTAATTGTAATGTAAGAAATGTTTGAAATGAAATACTTTTAGTACATTTTAATATAAAAATGTTAATTTAAGTGTGTTTCCGATTAGGAACTTTTTTCCATTGGGTTGATTGATTGTACTGATGTGATCGGCTCAATGGAAAACAAAGCCTATTTTAACACTACGAAAGACCCTTTTAAGAATTAAAAATAAGAAAAACAAAAAATGCATCATAAAATTTCAAGTATAAAAAATAAAAAAAAGTGAAAAATTGTACTCTTAAAGTATGAAATTGTGAAGCTGTTGCTTGCGACTTCACGTGATATTAAAAAAAAACGCCTGTGTTACTCAAGATAAATTACCTTTCTAATAGTGAAAGAATTATTAAAATTAGCCCTGTAGTTTTTGAGTTACTTCAACACACAAAACTAAAAATATTTCCTCTTTATAATATTAGTATAGATAATATATCTATAGATTGGTATTTAAAAAGATAATTCAATTTACCTGGTATCCCACAACCTTCCCGACTCTAGATATCCTCTCATCAGCGACTCTCTCAGCGACGCCGATGGCGGATATCCGGCGCGGCTGCGTGCACACTATCTCCGCGTGCTGCTTACCCCCCTTCTTGAACTCCTGCAGCCACTCGTCTAAGATGTACTGCGGCACTTGAGTACTCTTACCACAACCCGTCTCACCACTTATCACTATCACCTATAGAATTTAAATAGACTAAATGTAACTCAAAAACTTTCGCCTACGACTACGTTTGCGTGGAATTAAACAATAAAGTATGTAACCTTTATGTTCTAGACAACCCTCTACATTTGACAAATTTCATTGAAATCCGTTCAACAATTTAGGCTACAACCTCTAACAAACTAGTACGATTGTTATTAAACATTTGAAAATAAGTGTCCACTATGTACGAAAATTTAGATGTATGGATGGATGTTTGTTAGAGTTTGTAGTCTAAACGGTTGAACGGATTTCAATAAAATTAGGTAGATGTAGAGAACAGTTTGGAAGAACACACAGGCTTTAAGAACACACTTTTGCTTTTTTTTTAATTCAACGCGGACGGTGTCGCCGGCTAAAGCTAGTGTAACAATACCTATGTGATAGTAAATGTAATAAAAAAACCTTTTTTGAATTCTAATTTAAGCAAGCTTGTTACTGACCTGTGATTTGCTGAGAGCACTTAATATTTCATCCTTCTTTTTCCAAGCGGGAAGTTCTTTTCTACTTGACATCATCCTATGATATCTACTATTATCTTGTTTCTCTAACCAAATTTTAAGTATATCTTTATTAATGTTTATTATTTCGTCAAAATCTACTTTGGATCTCGTATTATTTTTCTGTTCTTTCTTATAGTGCGAGGGGTATTTCTTTTGATCTATACTTTGGTCTCCGGTCAATTGTGGATATAAAGTTTCTGATGGATCGGGAAATGTTCTTGTATCAAATTGTATGAAGTTTAATATGTCTTCTTCGTACTTTAATAGTTCCGCTATTGAGTACACACTTGGTATGCCATCTTGTGCCAGATTTTTTGCTTCATCTAAAAGTCTTAAAGTTATTTTAAGTAATGTTAATTCTGGTATTATTTTTGTTGAACTTAAAACTTTAACAAATATTAACGGTGGTTGATATGGATATACAGTTTCTTCGGAAAATCTTATTTCTAATTCGTATTTTACACTTTCAATGGGAGAATCTGTTGTTTGAGCAACAGGTTCAGTTTTAGTTTCATGTGAGAATTTACAATTCGCCCCAAATCTGCAAGGACCTTTTAGATACATTTTACATAATTCTTTTTTCTTTTTAACATTATTATAATTTATATTTTCTTTCTTCTTTGCAAAATCTGGATTTTGTTTAAGATACATTTTTGTTATATATTCTAAATTTACTTCAATAGACCAAATATTACTTTCTTTGGCTCTAAAGCTAGTTTCATAGATGGATTCTAATACATCTTTTTCGTCTCTCCTCATATCTAATAACTCTGAATCTGGAGGCACATTGGGTGGTTTATCTTGAAAATCAATTTTAAAATATTTATGGAATAGTATTTCTAATGCCTTCTCCAGATTCTCTCCGGCCACTTCCAATGCTTCTGCGCAATGTGCTTTATGAAAGTTATATCTGAAACACACTTTAAATTAACCTTTAAGCTCATAGTTTTTTTATTATAATGAAACATTTGTGACAATATAGAATAATCACAATCTGTTTTACAGTATAAGGCGAAAAAAGCACTTGCTTGCTCCAGTGGCCCCTTGGCCACTGGAGTTGGCCAAAATAGCAAAGCGACCACTGTCCATGAACATCTGCATTTGCAAATGCATTGCCTTAAACAGAAGAAGGGACATACAGAAATAGGTCTACTCCACTTTTGCTTACCATCCTCTGTCTTTTTGTACAAAAAGATTGGAAAGGGGAGAGGACTTATTAGGTGTCCAGATAATATAGGCACAATGATCTTTTTGTAGCTAGTCCATGCCTGTTTTATAACTTTTAAAGAATGGTTCAAAGTTATTAAACGCACAGCACATGTATAAAATCCATACATAAAAATTACAAATATTAAGACATTTTAAGCACAGCTTATAAAATAATATGCAAGTTCGTCAAAAAGGTAATATGAGGTTAATCCACATTATTGAATATATTTTTAAAAACATGTATTACTCACTTTTCTAATTTTGCCAAAGCGAACGCTCTGAGTCTTGCTTCTGATGTTTGTATATCAGGTTTAGCTGACAGTGAATAATCAAATCCACCTTGCACAACAAGATTGCCTCTTTCCATCCAATAGCGATTACCCAAATTAGATCCCTTATCCTTGCAATAAAAGTAAAAAAAATAAATAAAAACAATGCATACATAATGCTAATCACTGCTTATGCTAATGATTGCAAGGTAAATGCACAGCCTACAAATGTAGAAGAAATATAGGCATATACAGATTGTAAGCTAAAGCACAGCTGATAATTTCTATTTAAAGGATAGAGATTATCTAAACAATTCCTTTTTATTATAGTTAAATATTACTGTGTTGTGTGTGATTAAAGATTACTGTTATTGTTAAGAGTAATCAAAGACAGAGCAGACACATTTAATACCTATTTCTATTCTTTCAATAGTTATACATGACTCAGAAATAGTATATTTTAAAAGAAACTTGATTAAAATTAGGAGTATTTTCTTGTTTTTTACATGATACTATTTTGCATATAAATATAATACCTTATAAACACTTGCACTTCCAAGTTTGAAATCTGGCCCATGGATGAATCTTAATGTGTCTAATACAAGTTTTTGTGAATCGGAATTTAGACGTATCGTTTGCATTTCCACTTTAAGGTTAGGGTGAGATTCTTCTTTAGGCTCATCTTTTGGTTTTCTGTAAAGATTAGCATGAAAATAGTCATAACACAATATTGCACCATATGTTTAAAGGTTATAATTATATGTTTTACCGTATCCGCGCGTCAACTGGTTCTTTTAAAAAGAAGTCCTGTTCAAATTCTCTGCTCTGATGATCCATTTTTATTTAAAAATACAAAAACAACAATATTAATACTGAGTAAACCAAAATGTAAAATTGACAGCTGACAGTCGGATGTCATCAATAGACAATAGGACAATAGTTTTGAGAAATATCGATTTTAAGCAGAGGAAACCACAATATTTTGATACAAACGCCTTAGAGATTGTGAAATATAAAAAATAAGTAAGGTGTATTTTATGGATGTCTAAAATATCCAATGTTTTTTTGCCATAGTTAGAAGTCATAATATCGATTTGCAAAAAAGTCTAAGAAGGTCATAGAGTTTCATGGGCTTTGCTACCATTAGCCACCGTGACAATCGAAATCAAAATTGATATCAAAACTACTTCGAACAAGAGTATAGGAATGGCGAAAAACCTAGCCTAGATAATCGGCTGGCGATGCCCTATTCTGGACTATAGTCAATAATACAAATGTACAAATGTACAAATGTATTATCGAAAGCGGGTATTGGTCGGTTGATATCTTGGTTGGTCTCCTTCCTAAGTAGAGGTTACTTTAAGAATTTCCTACTTTCGCCGAAGTGTTAGTTCATGCCATTGATGTAAATTAATTTTATAGTTCCTAGTACAATATTTTCCATGTAATAAACTAAAAACGTGATGTTTCAGAGGTGCTAACTCCAACAGTTGGCCAATCACTGCAACACGCATAGAACACGCGAAATATTCGTGTTTCGCGTGTCAATCAATTTATATGTATTATAAATTGCACGTGAATCGGGTTATATCTGGTTACATAGTATCTAAGTAACATCATGTTATCATTGGACTTTAAATTAGCCTTGATAAAAGAAGTCAAGGAAGTAAGTAAATGTCTGAAAAAAAAATCACGACTTTTCATTTTCACGTCATCGTTTGACATGTCCTATTACATAAAAACCGTAAAAAAAACAGTTCTACTTGATGTTATAATAAATACCTCAATACATAGACACAGATCAATTTGATACAATTTGAAGTGGATATGTAGAGTAGAGAAAGTAGATACTTCGACTTGATAATGAAAGCTACGAGTATGCGGCCGCTTTGAAGACTTCTACACATGTATTATATTTATTGCAAACAGATAATTGCTTGAAACATTTATTACTTACACATAGCATGAGGTTTAAGTATACGTTTTAGGTAATAAAAAATAAATTAAGTAATTTTCCTAACATTGGCCATGGTAGTTGAAGGCAAAGATGAGGTGAAATAGTCTCGTAAACTACATAACGAGGTAAAGCAATTAAGTACATAATTGATTTTGGATTTATTTTGATAAAACAGTCATCAACAGTTTGTCGATATTGTTTTGTTTGGGATTTTTCAAGTTAAATATACAAATATGACTTAAAAAATTCCAGCCTTCGACTTTTGTAGATACATTATTTTGAACCTTTACAAATTATACAGTTTTCACATCATGTAATTATTTTGCACAATTTAATAATTCATACAAATACAGCCCCGCAAAAAGCATATCATTGGTTTGTCCGCGGGAGCGGTGGAATAATATTATGTAGAGTGTAATAGTGTAGTGTTGTTTTATTATTTATCAAAAAAAATGTGTAGTGTAGTTGTGTAATAACAAAGTTTACATGTGATATAACAACTAACAGCTAGCTGTTAGTTACGACTTCCCCGCGTGAAATTAAATAAATAATAAAAAGTAGATTTAGTCTATGATACTCACAGATAAATTGCTATTCTAACGGTGTTTTTTTAAATCGACTCAGTAATCTTAGACTTATTTCAATACATACAGAAATATAAATCTTTCCTCTTTATATCATTAGTATAGATACATACATAATATACTAAATATAAATAAAATTATAAATGTTAATACAGGGTGGCGCAACCGACATTCAATTCTAGATTCACAAAAAACACTGTTTTAGCTCTACATTTTACAAATTATGTACGAACTTGCAATGTAAAGTTTTTTTTTTTTCATAGATCGTCGTTCCGAGATATGCACCCTTGACAGTAATACATTCAATCAAACGTCCCCGCGTCTTCATTACGTATTCCGCCAGTGGTACTCGCTGAATTGTACATGATGGCACACCAGCGGTCATTACGCCTGTGATTAGAATAACAAAGTGGTGTAGGAAGACAGTTTGCTTTTGACCGGTGACCGATGTCATTGCCGAACTAGATGTATTAGAGTTTGCTAAATTGCATAAAAAGTTGTAAATTTAAACATCATCTACTCATAAATATATTTAATATTGTAGAGGTTATATTTTATACAGCCAATACCACGACCACACTGAAGACAAGCGTGAAATGGGAGCAATTCCTCGTTTTGTTTGATGAGTGTGGTGCCTGAGGATTAATTTTAGTCCCTTTTCTTTCTTGCCATTTTCTAATATGAAGAAGATGGGACGGGAAAGATATGACGGTGGAGGAGACGCATAGGTAAGGGAAACATCCTCTTTATTTATTTTATTTATTTATGTGCGTCTCTTCTATGGATCCAGGGTAGCCAACGCATCTGAAATTGCGGATGTTTATGTGCAGCGATCGCATCGCTTTCTCGGCGAATTCAGTTTATAAAATAAAAAGCTTTATAACCGGGAATACAGCTTGGTAATATTACAAACATTTTGGGATGGAAATTTGGAATCGTTTGTAATTATCACCCCTCATGTCCTCGAAACCATACCTAATCTATAATATGAAAGTGCTGTTCTAAGGTTACCCATTAACAACAGCATTGTGATTATAGTGGACAGTGTCAACAAGTCTCAGCAATCAAGTAATCTGATAACACATTCCTTGGACATTCAATGACTTGTTCAAAAGTCCTAATTAGGATAATATTACTATGACTGTTTATACTACATCACAAACATTGTTAGAATTTACTTTGTTTTACAATTCGCGGCCTCTTTAACGAGGTCACTAGAATCTTTGTTGCTGTTTATACTTTCATATCTGGATTATCACGTTTTAATATCCTTTACAAATTGCAATGAAAACGGAATGGAATTAACATTATATTTACCTACGAAAACACATTGTTGAATCAGTGTTATCAAACTGAAATAAAAGAGCAATGATCGTCCAGGATGTTGGACAGAAGGGAGCCTCAAAATCATCGACATATACAATGTCTCGGATAAGCTTAGTTATAATGCTCTCCCCCCAAAATATGGTAATAAGAGGGAGCCTGAGAACTCCTGTCTAGGGTACTAGCGCTATAGCCGGTGCAGGAGATTCTTAGTGATGACCATGCTTACTAAATGAAAAGTTCTTCTAATAAGCTTTACTTAAAAAAAATTTAATGGAATTTTAAACTATTAGAGACATTATTAAATAGTATCTTTGATAATCATACAAATTGATTCCTAGTATACTAGCTTGGAATTTGAAGCGAAGAAATTGCTTTATACATGTTTTTGTCACTTTTTATCACGTCAAGAGATCAATGACATTGAAACGCCACGACAAGTCCGTTGGTCAAATATTTGCTTGCGAGACCTAATCGCGATTAATCCACGCATTAAAGAATTACCGTGAAAGCCTTTAAACAGTCATCAACGTCATTCCGGTCGCAATCTGAAGCCTCGAGTCCGTGATCGACCACTATGTAAAACTTATAATTAGTTGGTGATGGCGACTCATCCTCTTGAAATTAAAAAAAAAATCCGTTTATCTATTCCAGACTGTAAATTATATTTAACCTATCTCTTCGGGTATTTTGGAAGATATTCATAAAGTTCAATTAAATCTTGTACGTTTCGGTCATCAGTAAAACGCTTTTTTATTTTAAACAAAAATATACGACGCCGTTGCATAATCTCGCAGTAATCATTTGTAATGTGTATTTCGTTATTTAATATTTGTGTACACCAAATAAGTATAAAGCATTAAACTTTAAAACATAATAAATTTTATGTAATCTGTCCACGTATTTTACATATAAGGTACAATAAATATATTTTACCACCTAATTATTTTTCTTATACAACTTGAATGTGTAAACCAAACAAATTTGCGTCTGTAAATCTATTTGACAGATATTTTAAATTGCATATAATAAAGTATAATAATAATTCTATAAAATTTAAAATTTAAAATTATAATAATAATAAAATAAGAAAAGTTAAAAGTTTAAAAAAAATAAAAAGACACTATACTTTTAATTAAGGTTTAACAATATACCCAAAAAAATTACCGTTTATTAATTTAACATTTGTGAAGGTACCGTCACTTTTCTTTCTAAGACATCTCATGAAAATTAAAAACAAAATAAAAAGCTAGTTCATTTGTGCTGTAAATTTCGATGTTTTATGCTTTTATATGGTTTTTGTTAGATTTTTTGATAGCCGAAGAAACGGTATCAGTTCAGATGTTGGTAACGGACACTTCGGAGTCAGTCGGCTGTGACGAAAGAACGCGGATGTCACTGGAACCTTGACACCAGTTTCTTTGTTTGTAAGGGTTGTGTTACATTTGATTGCGACAAGTTATCTTCTTAATTACAGTGGTTCTTTTCTATTTCACTTCAATGTACGTTACACTGCGCATTTATGTCTTTGTAGATGATGTTACAGTGAACCAGGAGCGGGATAACGCTGGCTTATGTGGATAATCGTGTGTTATTAAGAAGAAATAAGTAAGTATCCTACTTATGTAGCATCTAGCATCAAAGTAAGGAGCATTTAAACCTCAGTTTTATAGCACTTGCGAATGTATTGTAGTAATAGAAGATATTAAAAATAATCCTACGTTCTACGACACTTGAAAACGAGCGTTTTTACTCACTATAACGCAAGGAAATTTAATTTTTGCTATCCGATCTGTATTTGTGATCAAATTGGTCTGTTCTCTTTTATCTTAATCTGTTCCGAACCTTGAAGCTAAAGAGAGTCACAAAGAGACTAGGAAATTCAGAAATGAGGTATTTACTTGAGCTTTATTCGAACATTCCGTGTGATTTACTTGTAGAATTGAACAGAATAAATACATTTCAATAAAAGC